AATTATTTGTGCACATTTTATGCTGTGTAATATGTGCACACAAAAATTTAATGTGCACATGTGCACATTGTGCACATAAATTTTACACACTGGTCTTGAGATCATCATTTCTAATTAATTGATTTTTAGGATTTTTTTAAAAAATTGAAGATATTGAGGGGAGGAAATGAAAAAAAAATTTTAATATTTAGTAATACAAAAAAAATTTATATACTCACTTACCTTACGATTATATTTCTTAATTTTAATATTAATATCATAATAAAATATTAAATTATTTTAAGTAAAATAAAATTTTATCTTTTAATAAAAAATTAATAAGACATTTTATGTATATTTTTAAAATATTAATTTTCTAAGAAATAAATTTTAAAATATTAAAATTTTAAATTTAAGCATTTTATAAATCTTATAAGAGTATCTAAAGTTTTTTTATTTTACAAAATATTTAAAAATCTTGTTTATTAATTTAATAAAGTTTTTAGTAAAATCATTAGGAAAATTTATAAAAATTATTATTTTTTTTAATATAATTAGTAAGTATTTTAAATAATTTATTATTAATTATTTTAAAAAACTTTTTTATTATTTTTAATAATAAAATTAATTAAATTTTATAATATTATAATTTTAATTTATAAGTTTAAAAATAGTATAAATATAATCTAAAATCTATATTTCAAAATAGTTTTATAGAAGAGATTATATTAATAAATCAAGATATTTAATTATTTTATTATGTATTTTAGAAAAACTTTATAGTTAATTAATATTTGATTATCATTATAATTTTTTATAAAAAATAATTAAGAATAATAGACTTTAGATTATATTTATACTAATTAAATATTATATTAAATATATATATATTATTAATTGATATGATATTTAATTATTTATTTAATTATATATATTTTTTTAATTTAGAATTTTTTTAAAATTAGCTTTTTTATGTTTAAATACTAAGAATAATTATATAATCTAAAAATTAAAATTTAAAAATTTAATAATTTTATAATTATTTTCATTTAATTTCAATAGGATAGATATACAGTCAACTCTTGTTATAACGAATTCTATATCCTAGACCTCAACTTCGCTATAAGGCTATAGTGAAGATTTTAAGAGATTTTATTGGCCAATTCGCTATAATAAGAGTATTTTTATTATATTTGTTCAAAAAATTCGTTATATTAAGAGTTCGCTATATCAAGAGTTAACTGTATTTGCGATTTAATTTTAACAAATTTGAATTTGAGATTTTATTAAAAAATTTAGTTAATTATAAAAAGTAACAAATACTTTTAGTTATTTTGTTAATTTTAGATATGATAGAAAGTATATATTTTAGATAATAATAATAAGAGATTAAATTTTAATTTTTAGTTATAATCTTATTCAAATAAATATTTATTTTTTTAAATTTTTTTTTAAATAAAAATTTTTTATAAAAAAGTTAAAAGGTAAAATTATAGCAGTTTTAATTTTATTAGTTCAAAGTGAAACAAAAAACTATATATATCTATGTAAGATAATACAAATATCATATTATTCACTTGCTTAAAATTTGAATTAATACGTGATTGATCCCTTTCATTATATTTATGCTTTAAAATTAACAATAATTTTCAAACTATTTTTTAGTATTAATAAAAGCTAATTAAATTATTATTTTTATGATTAAATTTAAAAAATTTATAAATTTTATAATATAAAAATCTGCTAATAAATTGAATAATATAAAATATATCAATTTTATAAAAAATTAAATATAAAGCATAATATTACTGAAATAGAATGTTAAGAAAATATTATTATTGCATAAATTTATAAAGTTTTTATATAATAATCTTTTTATAAATATAAGAGAAGATTGCTAAAAATCAAAAACTAGAAATTTTTTAAAATAGTTAAATATTTAAAAATATGTTTAATTATTAAATAAAATTACAAACAAATTTGCTTGTAATATTATTGAAGAAATAATATTATTAATAAAAAAATTCAATTATAATAATTTCTAATATATGATAATTTATTTATATTTTTAAATATTTTTTATATTATAAAATTAAAAATTTTAATATAAGTTAATTAATTATTTTATTTTTAAATATATTATAATAATAATTTATAAATTATAAATAAAAATAAGATATTATTAATTAATATTTAATAAATCTTTTTAATTTAAAAAAGAATAAATGAAATTTATATCATTTCAGTTTCTTTTTTTTTGTGTTTGTATTTTCTTTATTAATTTATTATAGAAATTTTTAAATAGAATTATTTACTTGATTGAAATAATATGAGTTAAATAACCATTATAGTAATTAATATGATTATCATCCATTTTAATCCTAAAGAATTACATAAGAAAATCAAAGATTTCCAAATATTTTATATTTTTTTTACAATAATTAAATATACGATTGATTTGCTTGAACGATAACGTATCTCATAATGAAGTATTATATTTAGATTGATTTCTTCCAAAAGTAATTTCTATAAATTGTTTAAGACAACCATTCAATTAAAAAATAATAACAAACAGAATGAAAGAACCGAAAGATTAAAAAAGCTAATAACTAAACTAAATATAATAAATCCGATTAGTTAAAATAACTAACCAATTAAAGATAATCAAAATTAAGTGAAGTAAATAAATTTTTATATATTATTATTCTGAAGACAATTATAGTATTTAAATGAGAAATAAAGAAAGATAAATAAGATTATTCAAAAATACAAAGCAAAATTAAAGGAATGGAAAAGTAAAAACCCGAATTGATTAAGCAGGAAGGAACCATCCAATAAATTGAAAATGAAAGTCGAACACCTAAGTCAAGGCCAACGTGAAAAAAACACCATGAGTTTATAAATGATTAAGAAAATATGGAACAAGAAATGACAAAGTAAAATTTTACAGTACGTCTGGTTAAGGTCTTGCTACGTTGTAATATTATAGTGTTTAACAATTTTAACCTCCATAATTCCTTTGTGATTGTTGCTTGCATTCCCCATTTATCCTTATATCAAATTTAGATGTTTAGTTAATATTATCAAATTGTGATATTTAAGCACTGCCCATATTTTGTAAATAATAATATCATTTATTTCTTTAATGAAACAATGAATACTATGTAAATGTTAAAATAAAAAAATAACGATACAAAAAAATGTATCTAACATCTCATAAATTCTGAAAACAAATCTTACAATTATTATATAGTACGTAAAACCATGTATGATCTTAGCCGTAATACTTCACAATTCCATTACGTTTTCGTCGTCGTCGGCCGAATATCCTTCATAATTTTTGTTAATTTCACATTCCAAATTCGCATCTAAATCCATTTCCATTTCTACAATAGGAGAAGTCGGATCTTCAGGGATTGGCGAAAGTTTACCGTTCTCCATTATATCACTAATTCGTCGCTCATGAACCATCTCTTTAATCCGCGACTTGTTTCTCTAAGTTAATAATAATATTATTATTTAAAAAATTAAATAAATAAAAAGCGAAATAAATAAATAAATAAATTAAATTGTTACATGTGTAAAAGAATCTTGAGGTAACCAAGGAGGTCGTTGATATAAAACCAATGCCCGTACTGGATTTTCCCTGCAGAATAAGTTTTTCATTTCATTTAGCAAAACAGTACAAAATTCAATTTTATGTAGATACACATTACCAACACATTATTTTTAAAGATTATCCATTAAAAATGCGCACGTCCTCGGAACCAACAATTCTTTTGGTATCTTCTTCAATGATTTTCGAATCTCACTTGGAATCTCAAAAGCGGTGCTTTTTTCTTCTTCACTATGTTCTGAATCTGTTTCTACGTCGAGATCTGTAACCATGACCACATGCTTTCGTCTTGTAAAAGAAACTGTGGTTTTTCTTCCTTGCGAAACTTGAGATTCTTGATCACTGTCTAATTCCATTTTACCATTTTCTTCTTGTTCAACATTATTATTATTCGACAGGCCTTTTTTTTTAAAAAAAAAAAGGGTGAAGAAATTTTCACTAAGTAAATTGCTTGATTCAAAAAGGTAAGAGAAAAAGTCTAACCTTCGCTCTCAAGGCCGCCATGTAAAGACAAGGCAGTCAACTCTGAGGACAAAAACTCAGAGACATAACGTTTTTTAGCTCTTTCTGTAACCAACTGATCTATTTCTAATTCGACAGGATGTTCCCGTTTTCTCGAAGGTACAATATTATTCATGTTTTGACAAGTAACAGATTTGACGCGTTGATCATGAAAATTTTAAAAAAGCCATATGATCGCCAGCCACATGTGAAATAAAGTAAATCTCCAATATTTGGTATTACACATCTTATCGTTATTTACCATGATTAATGTGATTGATTAAATCAAATTTTTTTTCACATTCCTTTCTCGTGCCTTGTTGCGCTTTTTTTTTTATTTTTTTTTCTCTCTTTTTTTTCTCTTTTTTTTCTCTTTTTTTTTTTTTTTTTACCAAAATTAAGGAGCAAGAGTGAAGAAATTTTGGTCATCGCAAGTGTGAGCGTCCTCATTAAGTTGTAAGCATGTTTAAACTTTATTATATAAGGAAGATCTTATTACTAGACAATATAAAGTATAAATTATAGTGAAAATTATTAAATTATTAATACCAATCAATTCTTATTTTTTCTTTAGACCGTACGAATTTAATACATCTTATATTTAAGGCAAATTCTAGAGATTGCTTTTTCCACTTATTACATTCAATATGAAACTCTTTGAAGCCACACATACCTATTTTTATAAATGGTCTCAAGTTTCAGCAGCCAACTGGCGAAAATATCCAAATGATAATTGCCCACATGTTGTCGCCATAGATGTTTTGGACCGCCACGTTGATCCAGAAACTGGCGTACTTCGAACTGAGCGATTAATAACATGCCATCAAAATATACCGGGCATGTTAAACAGGTTGTGTGGTGGCTGTACTGTAACTTATGCTAGAGAAGTAAGCGAAATCGACCCTCAAAATAAGGTGTTGAAGATGACCAGCTGCAATTTATCAATGAATCATTTGATTAATGTCACTGAAACTGTAACTTATACCGTGGACCCAACGAATCCATCTAGGTACCAACAGAATGTTATTAGTTATCGGAGAATACAAGTTTAATAAATGAATTTTGCATTCCTATAATAATTTTAATTAATCACTTTTTCTTTCGCTAGGACATTATTTAAACAAGAGGCAAGGATCAAATGTGGTGAATCAATCTCTAAATTCGCCGGATATATTGAAAATTTCTTCATTCAACGATTCAGGGACAATTCAGTACAGGGTCGACAAGGGTTTGAAAACGTATTGGACCGACTGATGGGATAAAATATTGCTTCGTGGAATTGACCCCAAAATATTTTATAAAAGACAATTGATTCATAGAATATATATATGATTTATAAAAAAAAAAAAAATCAAGAAAAAAAAAAGTAATTCTTTATATCATCCATCCCTAATGAGGCAGTAATATAATTATGTATTACTTCTTGTTCCCCTTTTTAGTTTTTTATTATTTTCATATACCTAGATTCAAAAATTATCATTTTAGTTTAGCAACACACCAGCATGTACCAAAAAAAAAACCTTTTTTATTTTTGTAAATGATGTATTTGCTTTGTATTGATAGTATAGCATATGATATACTTAATTCATTTTGTGATAGAATGATTTTTATCACGACTAATAATTTTTTAACTGTTAATTAAAATAAAATTAGATTATTAGTATAAAATTTCCAAGAAATTCTCATTTGACGAAGAATAAAATTTTTCACAAATAATTTCAATCGGAATCTTCAAATTTGATGTGTTTAGCTTTTGGTTTAACACTTGCAGCCTGTACAAATCATTTATCGGAATGATGAAATTAATTATACATTATAAATAATCGAGAATATTTTTACTTAAATTACTTACATAACCGGGAAAATCATAATCGATTCCCAAATCTTGTAACTTTTTTCGTTTCAATTTTTCATTTTTAACTAATTTTTGAACTTGATGTTCGACTCGTTTTAAAGATTTTTTTTTAGTGCGTTTTTTTAATTCTACTTTAAGGTATGATTCTGGTGTATATACTTTATTCGCTCCTATCCACATACGTGGATTTATTTTTTCTTCGGGTACTACTTTACCTAATTGATATAATAAAAAAAATCAATACAATTATTAATTAATATTTATTGATCTTTTTTTTTTTTGAAAAAAGAAAACTTACATTGAAGAAGTCGATTGGATAAAGGATAATTGTGCATCGTTTCGGCTACTATTTCCGCAACTTCATCAGATGCAAATTCAATAAATGCGAAATGTTTTGATTTACCGGTCTAACAAATTTTTATAAAAAAAAATAAATATATGTTAATGATTATAAGAAAAAAAGCAATGCAATTATTTCTTGTTAACCTTTTTATTCCTGTATAACTTTAACCTGGTAACAGTACCAAATTGACTAAAATACGAATGCATCTGCTCTTCATAAAATCCATGTGGAATTCTACCAAGATATATAACACCTCGTTTCAATTTTTCTCCCTATTCAAGGATGTATACTTGTGTTAAATCCCATTAATATGTTCATAAATAAATTAACTCGTTTAAGGTTATCCTATTACCTTATCCTTGACGGCAGCATCTAACCTCTTCTTTAACGTTTTCTCATTATCGATATTTAACGAAAAGGTTGGTGTGTCTCCTTCGATCTCCTCATTTACATTATAATATTCTTCGTCTGAACTATTTTCTCCCTCGCTACTACTTTGTTCAAGAAATACTTCATTTGATAGTTTAATAAAAGTTACTTCTTCTTTTTCCATATTTTTTTTTTTTTTTTTAAAAAATAATAATATTTAAGATTATCTAATTAGCAATTTTGATTTCCACGAAAATCACGTTCACTGAACATATTAACTTAATTGTTATACTAAACAAATAATTATTGGATGATCAAATCAACAATAATAGGATTTTTAACTGGAAAATCACAGGAAAAAAAAAAAAAAGGGTATCGGGCTGTGTACATAAATTATCTATTTATTTAGTTAGGGAAAAAAAAAAAAAAAAAAATTTTGCATGTAAATAATGTAAAATAAAAAATAAAATCGTTAAAAAAAAAAATATTTGATTAATCGATAACAGAAAACTTTTTTAATTCGTTCCCGCGAATTAGCAACTTACATTTGGGTAACCAAACGTATTTATTTTTTTTCCTTTAAAGATGAAACTATTTTGATTACTTTGTTCTGCCAAGAGAAATTATATGAATATCGGATGAAGTAATCTTTCCAGATAAATTCTCCGAAGTATGTGAGACCCAAGGGTTTAATTATTTTTTCAGGGAGGATCTTTTTATAGTAATTCTAATCCGAGTTGATCACGACTTATGACGCGGAGACATAAAAACCAGTAGAAATTTCAAAATACAATAGTTGATCTGTTAAGCCAATTGAAGTTCATGGATGTTCGTTTTATCCCGAATTAACGAGATTCCGACTTCTTATCCTCTAAATACGTAAAGAAAGATTTAAAAACATGAATCTCCTTTTTTTTTCTACCGCTAATTGAATTATGGGCGCATGTAAAAACACGAGTGTATTGCTGCGGAGAGATGAGAATGTTTAAGGATGATCTTTTTAAACCTTTGCTTATCTTGAAAAAAATTTAAGTTCAAAAAAAAAAAATGCTGCATCATCTGTGTCAATGGGCATCAACAACAATCTGTGTATCCATTCAATTCTTTCATTGAATGAATTATGTTTGGACTTTTTTGGAGAAAGTGGAATTATGAAATTCCAAAGATGGATCTTTCGTACTTTTTCGTAGAATGATTATTTCCACATGTGCAATAACAAATCGAGTTTCCTTCTGATTGGTTAATGAGGCAACGATGATTAGCCTTATTATCTCGGGAATTCTATTTTTAGTTTGTACCTAGACCAAATTGGCCCTATAGATCTTACCAGAGGCGCAGCAGAACTCCAAAGGCAAGCGTCAGGACACGTTAAGACCACTTGAAACCTTTCTTTGGGTTTGTCCCCTCAATTAACTAATTGACTGCAACATCTAATTGTTTTTTGCCTTTTTTCTTCCATCTTGGTTTGTTTGTTTTGAAACTCCTTGGGGGTAGTTTTCCTATCTTTCTTTGTTTGTATAGACGCGCGACCACGTGCATCGATTGAAGAAAAAAGAGATAAAAATCTTCTATTCATGCACCACCTTTTGTTTAAGGAAAAAGAAAAAGAAAAAAGGAAAAGCAAAAAAAAAAAAGGTGAAAAAAAAAATAAACGTTTGACATGATGAGCATGCATAATTTCTCTTTGCTTCCTGATTGTAAAACAACTCTAAAACTCACTCACCCTTCCTTCCGTTTGATTGCTGCGGAATCGCTTAATGAAAAACTTCTACATTCGGTAATAAGTTTTAAAATGCGTTTTCGATCTCTCGTTATGTATCTATCATATGACTTTTTTTTTTCATGATTAAAATGAAACTAATTTTAGAATGATGGTTCTTTGACTTACGTAACACAATGATGAATATTTATAGTTCTCCTTTTTAGTTTTGATGGTTAACGCCTTGTTTGTATAAAAGGGCGTCTCCCAAAACCGCTTTAGGGAAAAAGGTACACCGCTCCCAGATTTTACAGAGATTCCGGTTTCTAACTTGTTTCGTTCCCTTCAATAAATTATGCATGGATAAATGAGACCTGGTGCATATTTGGTGCGATAATAAATTTTTATGCGCGCAGCACGGGACGAAAAAAAGGTCACCGGATTTGGACCCCCCGAAAATCTTATTTATAAATATTTTTCTCTTGTATATTTTTATACTTTACTTGACAATCTATAGTTAACTTATTTGTACAATATTCATAAATAGAGTGCCCCACTTGTCCACTTGTTCATCTCAAGTGTTACCCGCCCACAATATTTTTCACCTATTGATATTTTTATCTATTTCTGAACTATTCTTACCAAAAAATCTCACCATAGCATTTTTTTTTCATCCTTTTAAAAATTCTATCAAGTTTATAATAGAAACAAATCCTTGTGGTGTTTTAAAAAAAGAACAACCAGGAATAAACTCACACAAACGCGTCCACTAACAAAAATATATCTCGACCTACTAATTTCATACCAAAAAAAAAAAAAAAATTTTTTTTTGCTTCTACTACTAAAAAGTAAGTATTTTTTATCGTCGGCTGGTTTAACCTCCATACCGTTCCTCATTTTTCCTTTATCAACCTGTACCCCCTTTTAAATTTCTTTTTTTTATTTTGAAATTCCTACATTATGTCAACCTTTATTCAATTTTCCTCTCAGCCTCTCGTGTTTTTATTCTCCTACGACAAATTATTTGATACAAGCCTGTTACGTTAACGATTTTCTTCCTTATCAAAACTTTTTCAGTTATACCTTAACGAAACAGAAACATGGGTCGCAAGAAAATTCAGATAAAGCCTATCAAAGACGAACGAAACCGACAAGTACGTCCTCATTTTTTTTCTTTTTGCATCGATACTTATTTATCATGAAATTCCCTTGCTGAATTCGTTTTAATTGGTTGTAATGACTCGTTTTCATTATCAGGTAACCTTCTTGAAGCGCAAGTACGGCCTCATGAAAAAGGCTTACGAGCTCAGTGTTTTGTGTGACTGTGAGATTGCTTTAATTATCTTTAATTCTAATAACAAACTTGTGCAATATGCGAGTACTGATATTGACAAGATATTGTTAAAGTACACGGAGGTAATAATAATTTAAATTTTTTTTCAACCGCGCCGTAATTTACAATGATCCCACTCACCAGAACTTCTACTTTCCTTATACCTAATAGTATAGTGAACCTCATGAAAGTAAAGGCAACCATGACGTAAGGATCTTTTTTTTTTTTGTTAAATTTCATGGGACTCTTAATGATGAAAGTGTTAATCATATGTTTTTCCTTGAACGTATTCTAGTTTGCCAACACAACAGACCATGATGACGATGACAATCCACCACCAGGATTTGATACCGCAAATGATGTTAAGGTTTGTTTCATGCTGCTTATCAAAAATATTTGCCTCGTTGGATTAATAACTTGCTTGACGACGTTACGTGTATGCTCCAATATTAAAGTGATCTCTTTTTATGTCTTCTTTACGACAGGCCTATGCACAACCTCAGGTGCAAAATTATTCCATGAATAATTACACCCTTTACGCGCAACCTTCGCAACAACAGTACATGGTATGCGACGCGAATTGTTTTGCGCATCTCTCATTTCGTGTCATTGTCACCTGTGCTAAAGCCTTTTTTTTCTCCCTCAAAACAGCCTCAAACATATTATACACCGGTAACTCAAGTCACACAGGCCATGCATTCAGTAACTGCAATGTCTCTCCCAATGACTTCGGTTCCGATGCAGGTACCTCAATCCGCCCCTCCAATGAACAATATTCCTACTTCCATGCCAGCCCCTCAACAACAGCAAATTCCGATATCTACAACCGCTGTTGCCTTGTCACTTGGTTCCCCAGCTCAGATCGAGACGTCTGCTACCGCAGATTTAGTGTCACCACCTCTCATATCACCATCTCCAAAGAAGCCAAAACTTCGCGTTCAAATTCCAGACGCCAAAGATAAACCGTCCGGTCAAGCTGCGGGTCAACAGTCTCAACCTTCCCAACAGCAAGATCAGTCTCCAGAACAGGACGAGGCGCCATCAGATTCGCAACAGCCAACGGTAACGCTGCCCGTAAGTGCCCATGTTATTTTTTTTTATGACTTTAAAAAAAGTTTGTTGATGTTGTATATATAATTAATGTATTACTTTTATTTTTGTTGGTTCAAATTAAAAGATGGCGTCAAATCGTCCGACCCCCGCAACTGCCGACACGGGTCCTGCCTCGGCATTACCGCCGTCACAATTTGCGCAGAATTTGCCGTCACCTTCGACCTTCTTTTCCGAATTTTATAAGACGACCGAGTTACCTAGTCCTCTTACATTTGGTAACACACCCACGAGTGCTCAGCCTGGTGCTTTTCATTGGCCACCACGTAATAATTATCAACATCAGCCTTCACCATTGGCAAAACTTGAAAATAGTTCCTTATCAAAATCACGTCCTGCACCTTCCGATCATAATGATGAGTGTGAAGAACCGGAAAAGAAAAAGACGAAAAATTGAGTGTTGAAAAGGGGGGAAAAATAAACGCAGAATTAATTATTTTGGAAGATCATTTATTTCTTTCTTTCATTCAACTACCTTAATTAGTCTTTTAAATAATTTCATGGACTATTTTCAATCTAAAACCATAGACATTTATATTATAATGTCGGGAAATCTTAATTTTTTATTATCAAAGAAAAATAATTTGGGTGGATGTAATCGGGGCTGTTTCGAACCTAATGAATTGATTTTAGTGATGAACTATTGTTCGTTTTTAGAGTTTTAATGATGGATTATAATTGGGTAAACGAGTCATTTTGAAGTTTTTTTTTTAATGGACTTTTTTTTTTAAAGACATTTTTCTTTCCTAAATACTACCTTATTTTTACACTATTACCACTTTTAACTTTCTGTTTTATATTTCAATTTCAATTTCAATTTACGTCGTTGTTAATAGTCATTTTGTATCATATCTAACGAAAACGTTTGTCAAATTAACATCGAATTCAAATTTCCTTTTTTTTTTTTTTTTTTTTTTTCCTCTTTGCGTCAGAGATAGATAGGTCTGGTACGTGAGTTATGGGAAACTTGGCCAAATTTTTTTTTACGCAGTCACATTATTACATAATAATACATACGAACTATCCCCAATAATAATTTGGTTATTTTAAAATTCTCTGATGGACATTTTTATCTTACTTTTTTTCTTGGGTTATTTTTTTTTTAAAAAAAAAAAATAATTTACTAAATCA